CAAGAAACGTCATAGAGGCTGAGGTGGCTGATCCAAAGTCATTTCAGCTAATTCTGGGGAGTTGAACTCTTTCAGTTTAGTTGAGCCTGAAGAAGAAAGGGGGAACAAGTCCTGTTTCTTTCATAAGAATGTAAGATAAAAGAGCATACAGTAGGACGCTTTTATCCCATTGGGTTGCTAATCACTAATATACTGTATCTGAATATCTCATCCTGCTGTTTCTTGAAGGAAGCCAGTATGCTGGCTTGTCTGGGTTGCTTGTTTCTTCCTCACATAGCCCTTTGTAAATACTTTGTAAATTGGAGGTAAATACTTACTTCCTGTGCTTGTGCTCAGTTTAAAATGCAGATTTTGGTGCCCCAGCTATTCCACACCCTTTGAAAACATAAAGTAACACTAAAAATGGGTTTGCTGGTAACAGCCTTAGTGCTGGGCTGCCTGGTCCTCTGATCCACTCGTCTCTGTGCTTATAATAGTTATGGTTAATGTCTTTTAGGAACTTAATGTGGTGAATCTTGCATTCAAAACTTCATGGCTCAATAAAATCACAACAGAAAGTATATTTTAGAAGGTGGTGGTCTGGGAGTTAAGGCTAAGCAGGTTTACAAACTGCCCTGTACTCAGATGTCTGGAATGTAAAGCTTTCTTAGTCTTATTTTAACCTGCGCTTTTTAAGCATATATCTTACGAGCAGGGCTGGGCCTGGGCACAGGTGAACTAGGTGACTGCCTAGGGCCCCAGCTCTCCCAGGGGGCCCCCTCAATTTGCTGCGCAACATTTTTTTTAATCAGTCTGTTCAAATGTGAGTGAAAAAGAGCTTGTAGTGGCTCTTTCAGTAAAAAAAAAAGACCAATCACAATCAAGTACGTAATGTTTCTGAATGTTTCTGAGCGGGATAAGCTATCTCAGAAAAGGAGGGACACCACATGAAATCACTGTAATAATGCATTTGTATTTCATTTGCTTTTGCGTGTGTCAGATCCATGTAACTAGCGAATGGTAGTCCAAGTTTAGGGAGTGCTTAGAATCAATGTCAGCAAAGAAAGCTTTAATCAACACAGCACTTTTAGGGACATTAGAGAAATAGAATGGATTTCTATCATTATGGTGAGTACCTTCAAACATGTTTCTTGTATTTCCCATGTTTTTAACCGGTAAAACAACCCCACGTCTTTATGTTATAATCCCAGTATTTCACTGTAGGAACAAAAACCATTGTAATCATCTCTCGCATATTTCTTCTCACATATTTATCCCAGTTGAAAAGTTCAGGTACTGTAGTTGCATTGGTCCACCCTTTCATCCTGAAATTTGTTCTTTCAATAAACATATTCACTGTATAGGCGACAAGTTATATTTTTGATGGTGTCCTCTTCTAAGCAAATGCTTTCCAATGGTTGCTCTCTCCATCAGTTTCTTGGAGAAGCTCATCCCTTGCTAATTCCATTGATTTGATAAGAAATGGTGTGTAATTGAAATGATCTGTTTGGAAGATTAGACAAACCTGTAGAGTTATTGATTAAAGATGCTCAGAGTTTTACTGCTTGTAGGGATGACTACTTGGCTATTTAAAGCACACAAGAAGGTCCGAGAGTGAGCCAAGGACATTCTGAGACAGAGGTAAAGATGGGTTGATGGAGGGAGCAGAAAATGTTGGGAAGGAAAGTTTGATGCCTCTTATTTACTGTACATGGAGTATTGAGCAATTGGTTGGAATTGGTCTTTTCCTCCTTTCCTGAACCCTGGCACAGGCTTTCCCAGGGAGGCTGAGGAGTGTGATCCCCTTTTAGTTGGAACACGCCCTGTGGCCCCCCTTCTTAAAAATAGTGATCTCCACCCCAGTCCGCCAATCCAGAGGCACTGTCTCAGCCTCCCACACAACATTGAAGAGGCACATTAACCACGACACCTCAACAATATCCACTGTCTTCACATTTCCAGCCAGATCCCATCAATGCCTGCATTACATTTTGCGAAACACTGACTTTTCTTGTAATTACTGAGTCCTCTTCTTTGTGAAGTATAATTATAGAGATATAATCCTAATTTTCCCAAATTTCCTGGTAGCATAGTAGCTGTGCAATTTATATACAGAGTCCGTTGCTGTATTTCTCTCCAATACCTACCCAAGAAAAGCTGGGCATTCATATGTTGACTAATTTCATATTTTCATAACGCTCATGTTTCAAATATTTTGGGTTTTGAAAGTGGTCTAACCGAACAAACTGTTGCTCTGTTACATGGGAGCCAATGAGGCAGAATGCTAGTGAAATGTGTTCTTTATTATATATTTTTTGTTTTGAAATTAATTATAACCTTTGCATAAACTAATGGATTTCCTTGCTTAGCAGGATTGAATTAAGATTTAAGAGTGTCCCAAGAGTTTTAACTGTCACTGTTTACACATATTTTTATAGCTTAAATGGCTTGACCATTTTATAAACCCTGGTAACTTAGGCATCTATAAATATTACTTTATAAATGTGTTTTAAAATAATGTGACCAGAAACAGAACAGCACTGTTCTATTTTTAGGAGAGGAAAAACAGAGGTTTTCTGCCAAACCTAAAAGGTTTAAATATAAGATATCATTTACAAAAAAGTGTTTAAGAATGTTTTGATAACCATGAAGAACATGTCCATGAATGGAGAACAATATTAGATTCCTCCTTGATAATGTAATCCTCCAAAACTGGATTGGCCATATGCTTAAAGCAAAAAAGCACAGTAACATTATTTTAATTTGTTTTCTGTATGGCAGTTCTTTATTTTTGAAAATGTGTTGCAACTGAGGCACTTTGTTTCAAATCTAAGAATTTAGGTAAATCTTCACATTTTTAATTAATATTGTGCAAAGGAGGCAAACCTTTGTTTGGGGCCTTTTAGAAGTGAATTTCAGAGCAAAACAGCAAAAAATGGTTGTGGGAGTCTGTAACAGGCTAGCCAGTCATGTCGGCTTGGCTTCTTTCAAGAAACAGCAGGATGAGACCCTTTGTTCAAAAAGATGTTAAAACAAGTAAGAAAGGTTACAAGTGAGAAGAGGGCATTCAGCCTAACTTGCCTGTTTGCAAGTTAGTAGTTGATTGATCCAAGGATCCCATCAGCTGTTTCTTGAAAGAAGCATGGGTATCAACTTCAGCGACACGGCTGGGGAGCCTGTTCCCAACACCCACAGCCCTTGGTGAAGAAGCAACCCCAGGTCTCAGTTTTAATTAGACTTCTACAAAATAGTATCCATTTGTACCGTCTGGTTTGTGTTTTATTGTTCATTCTGAATACTTTGACCGTGTTGACCTTGTATACTGGTATCAGGTCGCCTCATAGTCTTCTCTGTTTACGTTTTCAAGATGTGGGTTAAAGAGGCAGAATGGCCTCCTCTCATTTAGAACTATTGCTCTTTGCTTTAATCCTCAAAATTCCCTTTTAAATGTGGTACGATCTCCAGTAACAGACTGATTTCATCTGTCGATTCATGTCATGACGGTCATGGTGCCATTCTACTGGTAGATGAGTCTCGAATACCAGCATGTAACAGTTTGTTGCACAAGATCCACTCTGCAATGGCTAAACTGCAATTCAGAGATCAGAATTGCTTATCCAGAATCCGAGCACCCATCACCGATGTCTGTGCAAATGCTAAAAAGTTTTCTTAGCACTTCACTGCAGAGCCCTAGACCCACAGTAAGCGTGTTTCTTGCTAGAGTCACCAGACTTGGAAATATGATTTTAATTTTAATTTTAATTTTATTAATGCTCCTACAGATATTTCTTAAAGGTTGGAAAATTACTTTTCTTGGCTCTTTCTCTCTGTTGGATTTTATACAGCTATTTGACCTTCAAAATTTCCAGCCAACAAACTATACACTCTAAGTGAAACTAAAATTTAATCAAAACAACAACATTTCATATGACATATATTATGATGAAGCTAAATTGGAAATCAATATACATGTAGATTCTATAACTTTGAAAATCCTGTACATATTCTGCTGAAACACAATTACAGCAATATAATTCGAGACCTGGTGAGATCCTAACGGAAATTACTGACTAGACAGATCCCAGAACTAGCTCTGGCACTAAGGGTATAACAGTATGGAGGATTACAGTGCTTCTGGACCAGTGACTAAAGATGGGGGTGCAATTCAGCATATATGTTTTTCATTAAGATTTTGCAGAACAATGTTTGTGTTCCTGGAAATTAGTTCTGCAGCCTAAAAAAGAGGCAGTATGAGCTCTAGATTAGGATTTGACTTTTTTTTTTTGCATTCTGGGCCTACATGACTTCAGTCTGCAGAACAAATGAAAACTTAAAACTAATGCAGCAAAGGAGATTTAAATCAAGAGACTGCATTAGATTAGGATTAGGGAAAATTATTTTTGAATATGCCCTATAGGTTAGAGCATAGGTAGAATAAGTAGTAACCTGTTCCTACATGCAAAGTAAACATCTTTATAACATCTTAAAAAACATTTTTTATTTATTAATTTTCTGCTTGTTTTTAGGTGCTAGAGGTTGTTAAAGATCATATAAGACAGATATACCAACATAAGATCTTTTTGAAAAAGCATCCCCAAAGCCATTATCAACATTATGTCTTAGATCTACCATTTATCTTTTGACATTGATATACTGCAATTTCATCTGTTAATGATGAATTTGCAAATCACGCCAGTCATTCCTAAGCTACACAATTTTAAAAATGTTTGCTGAATATTTTACTGCCTTTAGCTGAATATTTTACTGCCTTAAAAATATTAATTTGATCTGCTTATCTTGATTTGTATTACTGCTATACTCATATTTCTTGTCCTTATGGGTGTGAGTGCCATACAGAATAAGAGACGAGACACAGAAGAATTTAATCAAACTTTTTTGTGTTTCTTTGGTGAAAAAAAGAGCATGTATAAAAAGTTTAAAAAATAATAAAAAAAGAAATCATTCACAAAAATCCCAAACATTCACATTATACATTGGACAAAGTTATAATATACATATAAAAAGGTATTATGTGCATTTTAATGGTAAAAAACACAAAAAATAGAAACAGACAGGCTTAAAAAGGACACATTTGCCATTTGATACTAGACAAATGGTTGACAACTATTATGTGCAGCAGAGTTCTGTATAAAACATAAATGTCGAGCCATAGCAGGTTTAATTAATAGACACTATACATGCTGATCCATTACCGCCCACTGAATGCCTCATATATGTGTTTACGAGCAAATCTAACACTAACTACTTAATCGCATTAACCAACACTTTCTATCTCTCTCCTCTGTTGTGTCCATACCAAATAGAGGTGAATTTGCCAAAGAGGCCCTGCAGTGTTGCAATGCGATGGCATCACAGAGTACATGGACATATGAAAAACTAGAGCTGAAATAAATTAATTGCATCTCTAATAAAAGGCAATCATTCAAGTCTTTTGGAGTGTTTCACAAAGTACATTCTTTAATAGTAGTTTTAAGTTATTTATAAATCACTAAAGTATAAGCAAAAGAACACAGTTTATATCAAGAATCATAATTCATTGCCACAGTTAAGTGAAAAGAGAAAAAAAATCATCACTATAAAAAATACTAAAGTTGTCTGTAAACATCCCAAGGAATTCAGTGGCTAATAGTGGACATTAGTAAGATATATTTTCTCCATTTAAAATAAAAAATCAGTTTCCCTTACATATATGAATAGGAAATACCCAATAAATTAAATCTGTATGGCTGTTCTTCATTTTTACTCAGGAAAGCTGTCTAGCTGCAGCACTTAGACACACATTCAAAAAGATTGAACTTTTTAATATATAAAAACGATTAAACTGGTTATATATACAAAGAGAATTAATTTATTTTTTACAATAAAAGTATCATTCGAAATGCAGTTCTCTAATGGCATTTTAGTATGTGCTGGCAAGCCATTCGAAGCTGCCATCTCAGAGTGTATTAGCACTGACGTCCTGTGGAGAAAACCATCTTCCGTGCCAAACGTCCTTCCAGGCTCTGAACGCCGATGGTTGATCTTTTGACCCCATTAAACACAGGGGTAGCTCCATGTTGCAGTCTTCAGTTCTGTCCTAATCCCATCTTTCCCATGTTTTGTGCTTTAACTGTTTATGCATGGAGTGCTATTAAATGTTTGATCGATTTCACAAGGAAACAGCTCAGCCCTCAACCGTAAGCTATCTGACACCTATTCTCCTTTTAAGCATGCTTTCATACCTCACATTCAATAAAGGTACTGAATGCCAGTCATCAAATGCTTGAAATAAGTTTAGTAAATTCACTGTCTTACTCCTCAGATAATATTCTGTCCAATAAATGTTGTCAATTTCCAGCCTACACAAGGAGCAGCATATACAATGGCTATTAGACCATTTTAATGAGAAAGTCTAATAAACATCTGCTTAAATCTGATTATTTATTTACATTATTTAAGCACTAAACTGTCACCTATTTACAGTTATTCTTTTTCCATTCAACACATGGAAGACTGTAAGTGATACAGTATTGGTATGTGCTATGTCATTTTTGCAAGCTAGCACAGATGTGGAGTCTGAGGCTGGAAACATCTTTACCAACTTAAGCAGAATACAAGATAGAAAACTAGCGAGTGTTCAAAAAAGAATGCACATGTTTTTTTCAGCATAGTGAGCATATGGTCCAGCATAGTGGACCTTGTTAGTGGACCAAATTGGCTGGGGACAGGTTTGTCAGAGACCATCTGATTGTGTGTGTCTGTGTTTTTTTTTCTGTGATAAAATCAGTGTCTGTGATTTAGAAAAAGAAACACTAAAACATGTTGGATATTTACCAGGCACTTGTTTCTTGATGTGGTCGTATAAGGGTGATAATGCAGCTCTCCTGGTATACACTATTAAAGGCACTGTTCTTAAGGGCTTTGGCTGGCTGTGCTTTGAGATGTTGTCACTTTGTAGGACAGGAACAATTATAGGGATCAGCGCCTGGCCTTGTCTTGTCTCACTGCCCAGCGATGACGGTGTCGCTGGGAGCCATTGGAATTCCACCTGGCGTTGTTATAGTACATGTTGACGTACGCCCTCTGGTATGTAGATGCTACAAAAAGAGATAAAATAGAATGAATTCATAGATCAGGAAAAAAGAAAGTTCACTTAAGGGAGAACAGATGACTCTGTCTAGATCGATCAAAGCTGATAGTACAGAAGGTCTTAAGGGCACTCCGACCCTTTCGTATTTTAGTTGATTATGTGTACCTGCCCCCTGTTTTGTCTGTTATTATTTAAGCCTGGCGCTCCCTCTATTTCCTGGCTCAGCACTGGGAGAAAGATGCCCGGAAGCCCACCTACAAGCAGGTCCAGGAGAGATCCGACGGCATAGTCTTCATCACAGCCTCCTGACCATCTGAGTCCAGGGCTCGGAGCGCCTGGCCTCGTTACCCTGGTTTTAACTCCTTGTTCCTGTTCCGGATCCCGTTCCAGATTTTAACCTTGTTTGTCTTGTCTAAGATGGTTCTCCCTGCACCTGGACCCTGGACTGCGCCCCAGATTTCCCCCTTGGACTCTTTGGACTTGTTTGCCTGCACCACGCCACCCACCCCGGAGCACCGGATCTCCGTCATCAGGATCTCCCCCCTGTCTGTCAACCCATCCTGATCCTCTACGTCTCTTCTCTGTTGTCCTTCTCCACTCCACTTACTTCCAGATTATATCGTCTGCATAGGGTCCTAAACTACGCTTCATGGGAGCCTGAACCGGCTTCCGTTACAGAAGATAAATCGACAGGTTACTTGTCCACTCATTCAGTATGAATAAACGTACATGTCTTCTAGCCGATGATAGCACTGTATTGCAGATTACAGACTCTGCTTTCTGAAAAAGTATAGCAGGCCTCAATGCTTCTGTCATATTTTTTAGGGGATTAGCTAATTTAACTCTAATCAGCTAACACCCATCTTTAAAATGCTTCTGCTTGAAGCAGATCAAATGTTGAATTATTTGGCACTCACGGCTCAGGCAGGATATTTTGGGTTCATCCCATCTTCCATCGCCTCTGCACTTGATAGTTGGAACGTGTCGCTGAATGAAGCCTTCTTTGCAGTGGTATCTCACCAGGGAGTTGATTTCATAGCGAGGCCGCATTGTTCCGAAGGCCCGGGCATTTTGCACAACTGGAGGCTGACCACAGGCAACTAAGGCAAAAACATAATGCATTTTCCATTTTGAAAAAGGAATTTTGAAGGCATTTTGAGGAATTGTGTATTTCTGCTGTTTTTCGTCTATATAGATTACTTCCTAAAACCTTCGCAAAAACAAACAGGCAACAAAAGGTTTGTGGGAGTACGGAACAAGCAACTCGGCCAAGCCTATACTTTAGATAGTTTCAAGAAATGACTTGAAACTATTAGGCCCTTGGATCAAATACTAACTGCAAAATGCTAGATAGGCCAAATGGCCTACTCCAATTTCAAATGTTATGTTCTTATGTACGTGTTGGAAAAACTTTGACTCTCTGTAATTTGTTTCTGAGAAACAATCATACTTATATGTCACCCTCTGAGCAAATTGCACAGCCAAGCAAGCAACGGATTCTTCCTGACAGTTAAACGGGCAGAGGAAGTGAGTTAACATAATTAATAAAAGACTATGCCTAAAACAGCTGCTCTCCTTTCTAGGAAATTATACCTGGCTCATTTTAAAAGCAAAGCAAATTCCTCACCTGTTCCTTTCTTGCAGGTGTAAGTGAGGTGATAGTTGCATGGCACATCGTTCCACTGGCCGTTCTCATGCCAGATCATCACAACGCAGTCCTCTCCGGATGAGAAGAAGCTATCTGGCTGGTTTGGCCTCCAGTTCTCATATTGCTAATTAAACAGAAGATTTATTTTTTTACTGTGATGTGGCTTTGCAAACAAAGAGCAGGAAAACAATATGTTGTTCCAGTGAAGCACATACAGTTTTAATGCATCATTTCTGAACAAGAAAATGAGTGGAAAAAAAAGATGATGTACACCAACTGAAATGAAAATGGCAGCTTTGAGACCCACACATACAGTATTTACAGTATAGCGTCCCTTAGGATCTTCTAAAGATCATTTCTCGTGCCTCCTGCACAGCTCTATTGAATGTTCTGAGCAACAAAGTTACTGCTGTAGTAAAGCACCACCATTTGTTGAGAAAAAGCATACAAGTATCTTTAATATACTGGTATAGGGTAAAAAAAAAGTACAAATAAAAAAAAAGACTGAAATAAAATTACTCTCATTAAGCCAGACTGATGGATATCAAACTACAGTTTTCTGTGGTGATTCAATTGAGCCATTTTAAACTCCTGATGTGCAAAACCATGGGAACAGTTCAAGATTTAACTATGGGGTTGAAGTAACTAGATTTTGTTGTGGTTTGGAAGGACTATGTAATATCACAAGACAACTTGGATCTGATAACTTCATTAAGTAGATTTGTTTTGGCATTCTATAATGTTAGACTTCATCTGTAATAACCAAACCTGCCTAAGTGGAATAAGTTGCATGATTATGAACAGTCCAGCAGTACTCCACCCTCAGCTTGCTTTTCCAAAAGCCTTATTTAGCCACTGGCTGTAAGGTAGAGAATTCAATTGCAATAGATTTGCCAACAATTTTTCCTCTAGTGTATAAATATAAGTCACCAATATGAGTGACATACTGTACATGTAACCTTGTAGCAGATTAAAAATGCACACTTTTTTATGTAGTATAAAGTAAATAGCCCATTGGCAAATGTGTGTCCCAGCCATTTCTTTAGGAAATATCACTCTTAGGTAATGTATTGTTTTTCTACAATTACAAATACTGATAGATGAAAAAAGACAGATGTTTGCATGGGATACAGACAACATTCTAATTAGGCCATTCCTACTGTATCTCATAGAAACTTTAAAACACATACCAGGACGAAATATCTCCTTTTTTACTTTGTACTGAGCTAAATGTTGCGGATTCTACAGCATGAGTATCTATACAGAAAATATATGTGCTCAACAAAGTGCTGTGTTTACATTTCAAAGGCAACACATATCTGATACACTAAGAATCCAACTACAAGAACCTCAGGCATTGTTTGAAGGATGAAAATAACACCCTTTGGGATATGACTCAAGTCTTTTCATGAGAACATTTCACCCCATATAATGAGCTATCAGTTTACAGCTTCCATAACATTCTCCTGTGCCTTTGTTATCTGTAAGTACTTGCTATATAAATAAAACCACCCTCCCCCTAAGCACTAAACCAATTCCCTTCTCTACTTATCCATCAGACACTGTCACCCAATGTAAGCAGCTCTGTTAGACTTCATAGGAAGATCACTGCTCCATTATGTTAATTACAGGCAACTAAATTGCAGAGATGGTTCTATAATCTGCAGATCACTCTCAGCACCTACTCACCCAGTATCTCATTCCTTATCTCTCCTAAGGGCCTAGCAGTTGATAGTTTAAAACAAAAGGACCCCATAAATTAGGCCAACAAGCCATATTATGAATCTAAGCAGTCATACATTAACATGGAAAATGGTCATGATTAGATTAAGTATTGTTAATTAACTAATCAACAATAAGGTGAATATTAAATATATCAAATATATTAAACATATTAAAACATATAAGAAACAAATTTATCAATACAATAAGACTAACAGGTCCCCCTGTCTGCATGGCCTTATATGTAGATACCAGAAGAAATATGCAGAAAATAATAAAAATAATTTTTCATGAAACAATATCCCTCAAGAATCCACACGGGTGCGCTCTTTGCTCATAACTAAACCAACATTTTTCTTCTGTGATGAACCCATCAGTGAGTGTATGAAACGCATTTATTTGTAAATGTAAGAAATTTCACAATTCAAAAACACCCAATGTAAGGTACTGTGACAGTGGTACATACTGTACAGTACAGCGCAGAGAATAAGGAAAAACAAACATTGCAAAGGTGAAATTTGCTCAACATGGATGTATTCAGACGAGTAAGGAAACCGCAGACCCCATGTTGAGTTTACCAATGCTAAACTAATGATAAATATTCTCTACACAGTCTCCAACCCTGATGGGTCAAACTGTTACTCCCTAATATCAGATTCAGTGCTGTGGGAATTTACATTGAGCAGCTATAGCCAGGATCTAACTGCATGCAGCACTTTGCATTACTTAGAAATTGACATGCTTAGAATCTCAACTGGAATGGCCAGTCTATTCCAACATTACTGAAAATGATTGTAGCACGTCCACACCTGCTTCTATGACTTGACAGGGGGTCTTGCACACCTCCATGAGCTGGTGAAGAATCAGATAGATAACCTTGATCATCTTTACACTTACACATCTTTACATCTCTGTGGTCATTAAAAATCCCAGGGCACTTCTTGAAAAGAGTAGGGGTGTAACCCCGGTGTCCTGGCCAAACTTCCCATTGGCCCTTACCAATCATGGCCTTCTAATAATCCCCATGTCTATGAATTGGCTACATTACTCTGCTCTCCTCCCCACTGAGAGCTGATGTGTGGTGAGTGTTCTGGCGCACTATGGCTGCCGTCGCATCATCCTGGATGCTGCACATTGGTGGTGGTGGAGGGGAGTCCCCATTACCTGTAAAGCGCTTTGAGTGGAGTGTCCAGAAAAGCGCTATATAAGTGTAAGCAATTATTATTATTATTATTATTATTATTATTATTATTACAAAGTCTAGCCATTGTTTAACTAGTGCTTAGCATGACCATAGACAGGTGGTATGCCTCTGTGTGTCAATCATAAAACAGACAGTGGTGTTGGAGCAAACTTTCTGGGTTTGTGAGTCCTGTGTGAGTGTGAGAGTCCTGTCACCTTATTTATAGAAAAAACATCACACACGTGACAGACTTTTTCTGAACTGCCAGCCCTTAGTTAATATAATTCTAACGACAGGAATAAAATAGCTACAGTACATGAAATTGCAACTGGTTCTCCCTTTGTTTCAGGGAGACTGTGAAGCAGTGTTTCATTGATATAATGTACTGTACTAGCGTGATACAAAAAAAAGTTTTGGCGTAAAAAATATCTGGACGACAGCCATTCTCCTTTGCAGGCCTCTGTTTTGGATTGGCCCGTTGGACATCTCTGCTGGTTCAGCTCCATAAGTGTCATTTTGGCTCTCTAGTGACATGTGAGGCCTAGCCTCACCAAGACAGAAAACAAAATTATTTCCAGAAGCAGCTGAGGACGTAGTCTACACTCTTTTGCAACTACAGACTAAACCAGTTCCTTAGAGGATCCAGAAATCATATGAAGGCGAGAGAAAAAAAAAACACAGCCACCCTCAGACCTTCAGAAACAATCCTGTAGGAGAAGTGTGGCATTCACAGCTGTTTTATTTAGGGTTTACGCTTCCCTGTTATGGACAAACTGTATTAGCAAATTTATAAGACATCTTGGGGGTAAAGGAATTCCAGTCAAGCAGTGAAAAACAGACTGTGACGACATGAAAATTAGAACAAAAATGTATCAAAAATGATCCTTTTAAAGCACATCACCTTCAATAACCGCTTATCCAATACAGGGTCATGTAAGAGCATTGGGCACAAGGAAGGATAGATGTATGGATGGCGTAATAAGACGACAGTCCATTGGAGATGATCTTTTTTTGTCTTATTCTTTGGTCTGTACAACATTATACTACCTAATATTGACACACTTTTATGGTGTGAAGGCCCTATATAATTGACTTACACTGTAAGTGCATAGAACAATCAACTTCCCTTTGCACTCTTATGTTCCAACTGTACAGATTGTCATTCACATCACTATTATTATTTTATTATTAAAGTCCCAAACTGGCATAAAATCGCAGTGACAACGGGCACATGCACTTGATTATTAAAAGAGTCTGAAACAAAGCTATTTGAAATGTAATGCCAGCTGAGCTCCTACGTTTTGGTTTAGCCAGAAGTAAACTAGCCCAGCTCAGATTTTTTTCCTCTGATTCCTGTCTGTTTAAAGTTTAAAATCATTGGAGGATATCCTTTCCAATTTTAGCTTCTGTATAGAGCAGATCATGGTGATTCCTTTTTAATAAACGTTACACATTTTTTAAACTATTCTAGACTGATAAAGAATTACAATTATTCAATATTTGGGGACCTAACAAATGTTTTTGTTTCTGTAGTGTGGACAACATAAATAGCAGTGTTAAGAAACAATGTCACTCCCTGCTGGCCCAGCACCTGAAGTCCACTTTGTAGCTTTGTTATTCTTTGACAATTGGTCCCAGCTGTGTCCAATTGCTCTTAGACCTGGGCCTGGAAATGTAGCTAAATGCTCCCAGCACCCTCTCCGTGCCTGGGTGGTTTCTTTCTGTCAACACAAAGTGTGTGACTCGACTGAATTCTGACTCCATCCTCTGCCTTTACAATAACATGCTGGAGTGTCACGACCTCCTACTGATGATAAACAAAGTCAATCTCTGAAAGAACTGTGAGAATATCTTAATTTAAGCAATATGGTTTTGTATATTAACCAAAAAAAATATCTGCCAACCTTCCAGGGAATTTGGAAAACTGAGTGACAGAATTTGTAATAGCCTTTTCTCTTGCAAAAGGTATTTTACTGGTGGTGATATTGGACAGAATGTTTATTTTCCATGGAATATACAGGGAAGATTCTAAATTGTAAGTAAGTTGCAAATCATGGGGAAACACTTAACAGAATTTTTTTTGTTTTGAAGTTTTGAAAGGGCAATCTTCTTTCACAGAGATACAGAGTCAATATGATGCAGGATTCAGAAGGACCCTTTTTGAAGCACTACACCTTTAGAGGGAATCTGCTGAGCCTTTTATTTTACGATCTGTTTTGCTGTCCATCCACTCACATTGTGCATGTACTGTAGCACAGCCAGCAGCCTCTCTCAGATACCTTATATACCTGTCCACACCTGCCCTTCCTTTCCTATTGACCTATTTATTTAAATGCTGAGGTAGACTGGCAGGCAACAGATGGGTCCAAGGCTTATCTCTGAGCCCCTAGGCCTTTTGTGCTGTTCCAGCTTTGATGTGGAGACCATATCTGAACCACAGGTCACAAACAGTAATTAGCTATTTTCCTGCTTATTTAAGATACTCTCCTGTCAGATTGTTCTCCGCCCCTGCTGTGCTCACACCAGGGTTCATGTATTATGTGTACACACTAAAAGACTCAAAGAGACAGCAAATAGTTAATCCAGTGTTTTAACTGTGAAGCCCTCAGACAAACTGAGTATTACGGAATTGCAGTCACTGAGAAACAAAAACTAGGGACTTGAGCTTTGAATTGCAACATAACTAGTGTTAATATTTCCCTTTTAATGTCCAATTTTTAATAATGAGAACACAGTCTGAGTAACTCTCACTGAAGTCACATGGATACCAACTAAAATATTATATTATGTCCACTTAGATACACCCATTGTTCAAAAACAATTTTAAAACAAAGCAAAGTCAGTACCAACTGTTAAACTGCAATATTGTGGTGACCGTTAAAATTGGACATTGTGTTAATTTTGCTTAAGGATTTAGTGTATTATCATCATTACAACTTCTATTACATTTTGTATTTTTTTTATTTCAAAGCAGGTCCTCAGAAAAGATCGGTAAAAGATCAGACTCAAGCGGGGAGAAACACAAGGCTTGGCAAAAATGCACTTTTTGATTTTGGTTCATAATTTTAAATGTTTACATGTTTAACATTAAAATGAATGCCTCTAAAGAAGGTGCCTTACCAGAGGCCTGCCATCAGTCCAGCGGAAGTCCTGCTCAAACATCTTATCATTCAAGCCAATCCATTGGTAGTCATGTCCCAGGCCTAATGGGAAAAATTAGACACAAGTAAAGTCGCTGATTCTTCTACCATATTAGGCTTTGAGAAGGAATAATGAAAATAAAAAGACATTTTTATACTTATGAATCATGCTTCCTGTTCTCAAAGCCTGCTTTCTAGCAGTCAGTACAATTTAGCTTTCTTTTCTGTGCAACCTGACTGCCAAAATGCAGTCATTAACTCTAAAATTGTATCTAGGTTTTTAGCAAAAAAACTTTTATTGTATAGGAAATGGAGGCATAAACTCAGCTATTTTTGCATTTTATTATGAACAGAATAATTTCTTAAGGAACCAGTTGAGAGTCACAGACTATTTTTTATTATTCTAATATTTTTCAATTAATGGAGTAAACAAAGTGTTTACTGTTGGAGCAGTGGGCATGATAACTATCTTGAAGCTCCTTACAACCTATTTGACAGCAGTACTATAACAAACTTTAAACGAAGATTTCACAGTATTCATACGACAACCTCCCTCCAGAAAAAGGAAAATTAAATTACATTAAATGCAAAAGAGATACACTCCATATGGTGTAAATGAGGAGCAAGGTTATCTTGTATTTATTTTGTATGTAGATTTTTCAGAAGGTTAACAGAGACTGTTTGTTTTCTCTGATGTTTATCTTTGACTTTAAATGGATTATGCATGGGGCTTCACTGTGGCTTTAATCATTGAGATAAAACTCAGCCAGCGTAGTAGCTCTGTCAACACTGGAGATATATCTTGCTTTGCAAGGGTTAGCACAAGGATAGGAGCCAGATTATTGCCACACATGATTAATATCTAAACTCCATCAGCCCTGGAGGTGAAGGCTGTTTCCTTCAGTGTTAAATTAGAAACCACACAGCCTCTCCTGTCAGCCCATTGAGCCCCGGTGAGCAGCATCACTTACGGTTCACAAACAGCTGCTCTTCGTGCGAGAGAATGCTGGTCAAGTGAGCACCCTGCAGACGACATTCTCTCTCTGCAGCATCCCAGGTGCGACGATGGGCAAAGTACTTGTAGCAGTGCCCCTGAAACTTGTGCCAGCCATAGTCGCATGTCTCTGTATCTGAAATGAAGCAAAGGCATTGACAGCATTTCTTTAAAAGCTGTTCCGATCCTCCACCAAGGAGAAAAATCCCCCTTCAAGTTTGCTGTATGTACCCAACAACAGGACAAACTTAGCAAATTCCTTCAAGTTAAAACATTTGCTATTATTTTCGAACCTTAGGAACAAATGACTTGTTTTATGTGGCCAGCAGCCACATCACTCTGCAACTCACAACTGGTAACCCACTGAAGCTAAGCAGGAGTGAGCCTGGTCAGTACCTGGATGGGAGACCTCCTGGGAAAAACTAAGGTTGCTGCTGGAAGAGGTGTTAGTGGGGTCAGCAGGGGGCGCTCACCCTGCGGTCCATGTGGGTCTTAATGCCCCTGTATAGTGACGGGGACGCTATACTGTAAACAGGCGCCGTCCTTCGGATTAGATATAAAACCGAGGTCCTGACTCTCTGTGGTCATTAAAAATCCCAGGGTGTTTCTCGAAAAGAGTAGGGGTGTTACCCCAGTGTCCTGGCCAAATTTCCCATTGGCCCTTACCAATCATGGCCTCCTAATAATCCCCATCTATGAATTGGCTACATTACTCTGCTCTCCTCCCAACTGATAGCTGATGTGTGGTGAGCGTTCTGGTGCACTATGGCTGCCATCGCATCATCCAGGTGGGGCTGCACATTGGTGGTGGTGGAGGGGAGCCCCATTACCTGTAAAGCGCTTTGAGTGGAATGTCCAGAAAAGCGCTATATAAGTGTAAGCAATTATTATTATTAATATTATTATAAAAACCTATACCTGAAATAACATTTTGAAAGTATAAAATCAGATATAGAGCATGGAATTCTGTTAAATATGAGTTTTCATGTTCTTCCTGTGTCTGCGTGGTTTTCCTCTGGGTGCTCTAGTTCACACAGTCCAAAGATGTACTGGCTTCTGAAAAATTCTCCCTGGTGTGAATGTCTGCATGGACTGGTGTCCTGTGCAAGGTGTATCCTGCCGTGTACCTACAGTATTACTTGCCAGGATTAGTAAAAAGGTATTGGATAAAGCAGTTAGAAAATGGGTGGGTGAATGAAATAATTAAATATTTTTTGCCTAGTATAATTTTTTAGTGTTCCAATATTGATTTATCATTCAAGCAGCCAAAACAAGTGTTAACGTATTAGAAATCCTCCTTTCTATATGCATGTATGTGTGCAGTTATCCAGGATAGGAACCTCCTAGCATTGCCTACCCTAGTAATTTGGTACTGTGAGAGCCAATCTTTTCTGTTTTGGCAGCTTGAAGCAAGCTCTTGATTAAGAAAAAACATTCATATGACCTTTCTGGATAATTGAGACACACAATGTCTTTCATTTATGACATAAACTAGATTTTAATCCAGGCCTCCAGGGGAAAAATCAAGCAGGATATCCCAATGCACATAATAGTTTATTGTAAATGAAAACACACACATGCATGATAATTGAAATTCTCCCAGAGAAGAACGATTGGTGAAGATTGTATATTAAGACCATAATGACACACTTCAGAAAAACTAATTATATAGTAATTAGGCACTGACCATTATCGTGTGCTCTGATGGGAATCTTAATGTTTTATGCTGATTCCATGAAATATTGCTTTAAAAGAGCTTTCTTTGAGAAGTGCTGCAATTACATACTGAGTCATTGAGTGATGGAAGCCTTACTTGGATAGAAAACAGTGCAGTAGGGTGCAGTGTATGCATGTTACTGTGTGGGTGTATAAGGGTCTCTAAAGATCTGGAAAGGGAATTCTGACCTCCTGGAAGAGAGACGTTTACTAAATTTTAAGATTCCGTTTGCTACCTCACCATAAGAACACATAATGGAGTTCTATCCATTTCAATTTTGCATGTATCCATGAAATGTTTCGGCTGCAGCTGAATTAAAATACCGATGAGATCACATGTCACACCCATGATCACACTTCCATCTTTAAGCAGCTGCAAATGACAAATTAGGCAGGATAGTAAGAAAACGTACTAAGAAGACTGGCCTTTGACGGATGGTTTTAATAGCAGCCGTGCCCTTTGTCCTAAAATAAAGTAAATGTCTGTATCTCTCTCAGAATGGGCTATGTCCGAATGAAACAATCACCTTGACAACATTAGGAAGGAATACGGATGTTTGATTGTACAGCAGTGAGCTTTTTCAAATGGTAATTTATGATGCAATGAAAATTGCCTTTCTCTGTGGGCAAAAAGCAAAAATCAAATGTTAATTTTAATTCATAGACTAAAAAGGATAAATGATAGACAGATCTATGACATTCAGCTGCAGTGCCCTTTTCTGGACTAGAACTAGGCATTCTTTTGCTCACAGTACACAACTTTGTTTACCTAAATGAGGCTTCAGTGTGCCTCTGCACACAGGACATTGAAGATAATCCCTGGAAGAAGGTTCTCTCTGAGAATGGCTTCCAGTGTGTGTCTTTCACAGCAGAATCTCTGCCTCACTGAGCGAGCCCAGAGTCTCACAGTGGCGGTTTACGGTTTTATTGCTGGGGACCTCCTGATCTCACAGGAAGTCTGGAGTTGACGAGAGAGGGGGGGCACTGAAGCAGGACTGTACCTGCTTTATGAATGCCCACAGGGAGACTGGGGGCATTTAGGAGAGCCCGAGCTGAATCACAAATCAAGAGTGATTACGTGAGAGCTAAGTGTTGATCTCATGACGAAAGCTTAAGTTAAACAACAAGACAAGTCTGTTTGGTGAAATGCAGGCTTTGTGCCAGGAATCTTTGGGTCATTAAAGTCTAACTGCACTTAGTAACAAGCCAAATAGAGGTATTATAGATTGTCAGGCATTTTAAACAATAGAGGTTGAACATAGAGAATTCTATCTTTAAATATAGTGAAAAACTTCAGCACAGTTTTCCATGGTGATGATGAGGATCGTTAAGTTCATTCATCGATATTAAAAAAGTAGCCGACATTCTTCAATATTTCTGTTTAAAAATACCCTGTTGTCTATTCAAACAAGATTTATGTTACTGCAACAAATGACAAGAAAACAAAAATTCTAAGTAAAAATAAAAGGTGATACTCTGTGTAGAAAAGTAAGAAGGTACAGATATTAAAGAGACATTCTCAGAGATGACTTAACTTGTAGTCAATATTGTCTAATTTCCCTACTGGATTAATAATGTATCTATCTTTCTAATTTAAAAAATGCTGGGATTAGTTTTTTAACTGTATCTGAAGCTGTCTGCATATTGCTAGTTATGGGTTATTTCATGTACTGTGCTTTTAATTACCTTGCTTTAAAGAAGAAATATAAAAAAGACAGACGGAAAAACTAGAAAAGAATCAACTTGGAGAAGTTCCCAAACGTGACACCCTACTGGATAAGGGATACACAGAGAGCTTTCTTCAAGCACAGATTGGCTTCTCATTCTGCTCTTGGTACTATCTTTGGAGCAAAGAGATGATAATGGGTAGGGGCTTCAGCTCTGGAGTCTTAACACAGACCTTTTAGTTAAGCATTATGACGAATCCAGTTAATATTGACAGCCATGCAAGCAAAAGTCTCCAATCTGAAAAATAAATCTAATTGTTTCCTGTTCTTACAGTACCACATGCATGGATGAGAAAACATTTGTTTTTAATTTAGAATTCTAATAAAGTTTTTTTTTTTTATTCATTATCCTGCACTACAGCTGCAAGCTTTTCTCTGATTAAAAAAGGGAACCACTTTTCTTTATTTTTTTCACTTTTGGCAGACAAGCTTGAGAACACAGCTGCACTGGTACAGAAAGAGACAGGGGGATCTATTGCTTAGTAATTGTAAGGATACTCTGGTGGGCCTGGAAGCTATTACCTAATTTAAGGATACCCGACATCTTTTGTTTGAAGGCTAGATAGACTATAATTTGATTTCAGGTAGACAGACTTTGCTTTTTAACAACTACGCCAATGTCTTTGGAATAGATTCTTCTAAAGAGCAAAGCCAAAGACAACGAACAGAAACAGAATTACATGGCTGTTAAAGTATTGCTATTGTTAGTCAGCTTTATTTGTCTCTTCTTCTTTTGTCTTTATAAAGAATCATCAGTACTGATAGTTAAGCTGACATTTGATTATGACTATTCTGGACTTCAGCCATTCTGTTACAAGTATGGTATAGTAAGAAGACAAACTTAGAAGTGAATAATGTTCTTAAATTAATTCCAGCTGGGTCATTTCAGCCGACTGTGAGTGACTATATTCCTGAGGGCTCAAGGGAGGCAACATCCTGGGAAAATCTAGCTCAGCTAATATGCACTGCTAGTCCAACCCTTCTGCTAGAGACACTAGTCTCTTTTGGGCATTAACTTTTAAAAAATAAATTCAGAAAAGCCTACATCTGTACAAGTACTGTCATTTTTTCAATAGTTTTTTTTTCTTATTTCTTTGTTAGGATGTTCTAAATTAACAAATTATTTTCTTATTGCTAGCAAGCTCACAGAGGTACTTTAATCATGCAGCTGAAATGTCTCTAATATATACAGGAGCTATTTTATTCTTAATTTACTAAGGCGTATAAAACATGAATTTACCAGATTTAGAAGAAGAAAACCCTAACGAAAAAAACCAACAGGTTTCTATAAAAATGTATTAATTATTTTTATAGAAACATACATTAGGTCGATTGAAGGCTATTTCCGTTCATCTATAGGTTATGTTCGTAAGGGTATGAAACTGAAATCCAATAACATGTTAGGTTATTGTTTCATATCAACCAGTGAGAATGATGTGGAAATCAATCCTCTCATTGACTGTGCCTCTTTATTATCAATTGAGCCACACAAGTTACCTTTCCAACAATTTCCAGTGATAAAAGATATCATGAGAAGCAACTTCTAGCCTTGAAATCCTCCCACTCCCCTCAAAACAGAGCCGATGCCTTTCCAATTACTAGTGGTTTCCGTGCACTATGCCACGCTGTTAACACTCATGAATTTTCCCTGCCAGACATGTGTAAAACTATGAGACACGTTTGTCTGGATTAGTGGAAAGTCTGCCTGCAGCACTTTTTTTTCCCCTCAGGTCCCAAAACCCACTAACTCCCTGCTGTGGGAAATTATAAAGTAGGACAGGATCTAACAAAAAGCAAGACAGGATCTGATAAGACAGGAAATCATCTCATGTATGTCTCCAAGTTGACCTCTCAAGTGAGGTCCATTAAAAAAACATAAAAGGACAGGAGTAACTCTTGAAAAAATTCCCTTCTGTACTACTTAGCCCTTTTTAATATAATAAATGGGAGACTTCTGATGATGCTCATCTCAGTGTTTTATCTTTATTAATATAGTTGAAGGAAATACCTTTAGTGTCTCTGCAATTATATCCTTATTTTGTATTTACTTTTAGTTTTAGCTTTAATATCATAAAGGAGGACATGAAAACAAAAGTCATATACAGTATGTGTGTCATCTAAAGCCTTACCTTGTTCACAGAGAGCCCCTGCATAGCTTGGCAGGCAAACACAAGTGAAAGAGTTCAGGCTATCAATGCAGGTGCCTCCATTTCGACAGGGGTTGGAATGACATTCATCAATATCTAAACACAATACAGAATTATTAAACATATTAAAAATAGCAGTAAAACAGCAATACTGTGCATTCATTGGCATGATTCCAATACAGTACGGTATATTTTGCTCGGAGTACTGCAAACGTCTTTAGCAGAAAATGGGTGGGATCTATTTTTTTACAGAATTCTGAAACATTAGAAACATTCCTTCATAAGAGGGAAAGCAATGGAGTGTGAAACTTCATATGTGCGATAGCACAGAAAGCTCTGTGTATATGCAGATTACTTTGTGTGTGCTGAGCAGTTCTCTCTGTACTGTAATAGTGGATTACATGTGTCTCTTAACAATCAGGTTAAATCGAGAGTGGAGTTCTTCATACATGGAGCCAAACAATATTCTGCCTTTGAAACACTACTGCATGTAAGCTAATTTTTATGGGTAAAATGTCAATAATATCTAGAGATATCTAATTTAAGTAAAAAATATCAAATCCCAAATAACATTTATCCAATTTTATGCATCATTTAAAAATTAATGACAGCTTTATTTTTGTTTCAGCCTTTATTAGAGTAAATCTGAATTGGAACTCTGTAGTCTTCCTTGTTCCTTTTTTAATATTGTAATAATGAGAATTTCACAGAGTACTGTATGTTTTACTTTTAATCTGTTGGCTTTTGTTTCAGCGAATTCGTTTGTTTTGGCAAACCCCACAGCACTCACTGGCCCAAAATTAGGAACCTCTAATCAGATCATGAAACTAAATTGAAAGGAATGTGTGGTTGGTTTAAGAGGATAACTATCGCTGTTCTTGGCTTAAACAAGCCTGAGAGCTCACTCCTACTGAAGACTGGTAGAACCACACACCATTAACTTCATCACAGCCTCAGCTAGAAGAATGTAAATTTAAGCTACACATACCGTTGTCCTTGCTACTCCAAGAGGCCAAACATATTCATATATTTATGAAAGCACTTACGCATGAAGGACAAGACAAAACCTTATTACATAACACTGAAAAGAGGCCAAGTACATTTTGGGTTTTAGTAGCAAAGTGATTCAAAGGTCTTATTTAGCCATTGTTGAAAGAAGTCAGGGTATCTGCTTCTGCAATAAGACTGGTAAGCTTTTCTAGACTCCTACAATCCTGAATGGCCTTGTCTTGTTCATAACAACTCATAAGTTCTCATGAAAAGAAGTTCTTCCTGCTGCAGGTTTTAACAGCAACATTGAGTTATGTTTGTCTGTGCCTTTGAGGATTTTGACTATGTGAAATGGTTCTCCTAACAGACTCTTTTACTCAAGACTAAAATTCAGTTCTTTTTGTCAGTAATGAAAGTTCATCAGTGAGGACATTTAATTTGCTATTGTGCCAGGTTGCCATTCTCTGGACCGATGATTCCCTGGACCAAAATCAATTTTGTATTGCAGTGACCAAAAGTGTATTTAAAAAAATTAAATTAAATCTTATTTAATGCAGTCCTAACATCTCTTTACTGAAATTCTGCACCTTTAACTATACTGTATATCCTGACATTCTGCTTGTCTTTTTCATTATGTCCCTACAGTGTATAGAAGGTGGTTATCATGTACTAACACCAAAGTGTTCATAGGAAGCTTGTACAAGATTCAAGTGTTTGTTACGTGTATGCACTAGACACTCTGCATTGTTGTGTGTAAAATGTGGACATCTTCCAGTTGTATTCTCAGCCTTGTATTGTATCCTACTGTTTCTGCTTTTCTTCTATTTTGGTATCAAATATGAATTCCACTTGCTTGCTATGACAGAACTATGCCAAATCATTTATATAACTTAAGAAGAGCAGTGCTTCTAATATAGAAGCCTATATTTGTGTGTTACTCGGCTAAATGGAAATTATTAACTGAATTTCAGGAGGCATGACGATACAACCAAGACTTTCTTTCCAGCTGTTGTAAATACTCCCTAAATCATCATCCCCAACGTAATTTCTCAAAGCTGAATACACAAATCCCTCTTCTTTTCGCAATTTGGCTCACACATCTGTCCTCCATCCCATTTCTTTTAGCTAAAAATGGGTTTCCTCCTTTTCCACCTTGCCACCTTTAGGTACCAGCTGCCCCCTGGTCGCTCCTCTCTCTGCATAGGGGTCCCAGCCTTCTCTTCCGGTGGAGGCCAGGAGGCTGGCCCTCAGCCAAGCAGGTTAAGCCAAATCTCACTCTACCTGAATACTCAGGAAATATCCTCAAACACATCTATTTTGGGAGATGGTATTCCTCATGAATTACTTCTATGAAACTGATATGCTCAATTTCATATCCATCAATCATTTCCTGACACAATTACATGTATTTTCCTAAGGGCAATACTGCATTAATACATAGATCATGAACAATAAAGATTTGTTTGAAAGTTAACTGTATGTAACTTCATGGCACACACTGAATCTATTCTGTCATGGGAGTAGTCATTGTTGAATTTAAAGAAAAAATTCACATGATTCCACACTTGACATGTGAACCTTAGTAGGCACATGCACTGAGCTCCTGTAATGTGAGCTTACCTATTTCACAGTGCTCTCCACTGTAACCTGGTGGACATGTGCAGATGTATGATTGGCCTCTTGGGTAACAAGAACCTCCATTACGGCACAAATGGTCTTCACAAGAGTCGTGACCTAACATTAAAAACAGAATACAATATCATATCATCATGGTTAGATTATGTTTCATAATATACTTTACTGTGAAATTAATTACTAAATAAACAAATCTGGAAAAATCATGGACAAAAGATTGTGTTTAACAAAACCCACTCATTTTTGCCATATTTTGAAATCTTTCTCAATTTCATTTCTGAAATACAAATAAATTCACGGTTGAGGCTTGTAGTGAAATAAAGGTAGTTCTTCATTTGTGGAGGATATTCTTACACGGTTTCTAGCCAATTTCATGTGTTGGTTGTCACATTCTGAGAAAGAGTTACATAAAAGAAGCAATATAGCATCTCACTTTTAATCTCACATTCGCTTTGATTTACTAAACTGATTATGACATGGCTACAGGAGAACAAGGAGGTCAGCTCTGAGGTCATTTAAGAGTTTGTATGTTTATTGTTTGCCTATACCTAACATGTCATGACACATGCTTACCTGGCATATGAACCATCTCCCCTGACGATGGTATCTCTGGGTCAGTGCTATTATCTTCAAGAAGTGGTGGCATGCCTTCTACAACAGTCTCTCTGTGGGTAATGTCTTCATAGTCTTTTGTAAGTGGATATTGAGTTGTTTCACCTGGCCAGCCGGGCGGTGAAACTGAGGTTTCTGCTTCTCTGTCTTGCGTGTGGTGACTCTCTGGGTCAGGTTCAGATTGTGTGCTGGACCCTGAAGGTTCGATACCTGGAGATGCAACTGTAGAAGGCAAGTCTATGCTGTGCATCAGAGAGGGCGTTTGAGTATTTGTGGGCTCCAAATCTGTGAAATAGGTGACTGCTCCCTCTAATTCTTTAATCTTGGCAGTGGGGGATGCAGATGAATCTTCTCTGTCATCTTCTTTAGGAGTGGTTTCAGATCCTGCAGTTTCAGGTCCTGTATGCTCTTGTTCCTTGTCACCCAATGCGGGCACTCCAGGTTCCTGCACAACGGATGATACCGAGGGTGACTCTGCAAAGATATGGAAATCTCTAGAGGTGGCAGACACAATGGAATCTGTGCTTTCCTGTGGTATAGGTGGTTCTACAGTTGATTTTTCTCTACTTTTTATATTTTCTTCAAGTATCCAATCTGTAGGTGGCTTCTGGGATGAACTTTCTTCAGAATTAAGTTCCTCAAAGGAGCTTTTAGATGGACTAATCCCAGACTCCGGGAAGATGGTGGTTCTTAGATGAATAACTAGTTCAGGGTCTTCAGATGAATCAAGTATTGGATGGACACCTGAAATGGTTTCTGACGGTGTAGACTCTTCCTTATCAGACAATGAAGACGTTGGGGATGGAGTAATTTCTTTTTCATGAAGGCTGGTATCTGCCTCATGTGATATTGAAACAGCAAGATCTTCTGTAGAGGGATGGTGTGCTACATCAGGAAGTAAAGTTGTTCCCTGGAAAGATTCAGTGACAACAACATCTGAGTCCTTTACAGAATATGCATCAGAAGGTGTGGATGGTAAAAGAGTGCTTAGTTCTACATCTTCTCCTTCAGCTGTAAATGTATCAGGCACTGTCTCATCTTTCAGTGTGTGCTCCTTTACTGTTGCCTCTTCATCCTCATATGTTGTCTGTTCAGACTGAGGTATGGGAGTTACTGTTGTTTCAGAACTAATAGCTTCAAAATCCCATAGCCTTGTTTCAGAGACAGGGGTCTTAGAAGTGAAAATCCCATCAGTAGAGCCTTCAAAATCTTCCCGTGTCTGTGAGGTCTGTGGAGTAATAGTCACTGGCGTTACTCCTCCTGCTTCCGCAGTTAAAATAAAAGGTGAATAAGGAGGGGAAGATTCAACCACTGGCTTCTCAATTTTAATGTCCACATCAATGATAGACTCTTCAGTTGAGAAATCGTGAACTTTTGCATTGTCATGTGTTACACCACTTGTCACTGTGGAGAAAATCTCATCTTCATTTAGTTCCTCTTCCGTGAAAATAATGACTGATGAAGTAGTTTGTTTTTTCTCATAAGGTTTTGTGGTAGCAACGAATTCCTTAGTGCTGGATTCCACCTGTCCACTTGTTGGGCTTGAATGTAACACTCCGTGCTCATCAAACTGCTGATACACCACAGAAGAAAATGAGGAGGGAGCAGTGCTCTTTGTGTCATCAGAAGCAGAGGCCAGAACCTCACCTACAGTATGTTCATCTACCATCACAGAAACATGGGTCTCAGCTGGAGGAGCGGTGCTGCTGGTTTCCGATTCAGGGGGAAAAAATTCCTCATCTGTGTAAAATGTACTAGAGACTGTTGGTGTGGGAAGAACAGTACTCAACAATGTAACGGATTCCATTTTTGCTGGCTCTTCACCAGACCCAACACTCTCTAGATCTGTTTCCTCTCTCTGCGATGTTTCAGTTTGTTCCCTTTCCCTTTGTGTTACTGTTGTATCTGGCAGTGGAGAGTCAGTTAGGAAGCTCAGCTTAGTGGGGGTCTCAGGACTTTCATCACCTGAGGCAATAGTAAGAGCTTTACTAGTTAGCTCCACATGTTCACCATCACCGGAAAAATCTCTCTCTGGGATTATAAACTCATCTTTTGAAGGAGTAGTGGCTTCCTGTCTTGAGGGTTGAGCAGTGGAAACATCAGTCGTTGTGGTAAGAGAAGGAGACAAACTGGGGCTTCTGAGAATTTCAGCAGAAGACGCTTTCTGTCCAGAGCCTTCAAATTCTACTGTGTCTAATGGTGTCAATGGGCCTTTAGAATGAATTTCTCCAGAGATCTCCATTGAAGTGGAGCTCAAGATCTTGCTAACATTGATTGAAACTGAAACAGGTGAAAGTGTGGTATCACCATCAGCTATAATGGCTTGCTCTTCTCTGCTATCTGCAGGTGATGCAGTGCTTTCTTGTTTTTCTTCATGTTTAGGGAATACACTACTTGTAGTTGGAAGCTGAGTGTGCGTCTGTGCAACAAAACTAGTGGCTTCAGACCTGTCCTCCTCTGCGTGCATGTCTTCTGTTTTGGACAAACTTGTGGTATCTTTGTCTGAGAATCTGTCATGGGAAATGGTTGTCAAGGTAAATATTTCAAAGTAGGAATCCTCTCCAGAGATTGTTTCTCCTGCAGCCACTAATGACACAGAACTCTCATCTTTTGCAGTTTCTGTTTTATTCTCTGGACCTGCTGTTGCTGTTAGAATAGGAACAGTAAATGTCTGAAAGGGAACACTTTGGTGACCCTGCGTTCCTGTAAGAGTGGATGTCTCTGTGGTTTCTGTGGAAGACCAAGTGACATCCATTCCAGAAGAACCCTCCCCTGACAATTCATCTGTCTCAGAAGGCATTAAAGGGACGGAGGCCTCAAGCAAACTAGTGTCTTTAGTTTCAATGCTGGATAATGGGGACTCTGTTGTTGCAAAGGCTGTGGTGGAAAGGGGTTTCTCTGTTACTGTGCCATCTTCCATTGTATAATCCCCATCAGTTGTCTGTGCATCCTGAGCTGTTGTGCCTTCATACATTTCCGGTAAACTGTAATCAGGCACAGTTGATGTCTCTAGCACACAGTTTTCAGTTCCCAAGTGTGACATGTCACTTTCTGCGGGGGACACGCTCACAAATTGGTCACCTCTCGCTTCCTCAGCAGCCTGGTGCTCTGTCTCAAGTGTCACCAGATGTTTTCCATTGATGAAGCTCAGTACTGGAGTGCTCGTCACAGCAGAAGAAGAGCCATCTGTCTCCCCACTCCAGGGTAAGATAGGATCACCTTCGACAGAACTGGGGATGGGCTCATTGGGTACTGATGGGACCATGAGTTCAGGAATCTGAGGAGGGGACTCAGACTCTGAAGATCTTGGATATGCAATACCACTGGGTCCTTCAAGCAAGTTTAAAAGAGGATCAACTGCAAGAAAAAAATGCATGTATTAATGAATGACAGATAATGAAAAACAGATCTTTAAGAATTTGAAATAAGTGGCGGGAAGAAAGTCAGTATTAATCAAACATAACTATACTGAAATTGTATTAATTAATGAAATGATCAGTCTCATGTGTGTATCAAAGCTACACCTTCCTTGGTTCCGAAAACATAATTGCACTGAGGTAATCATCCTGTAAGGTCAGAGCACAGCATGTTCGCTGTTCTCAAGCTGAGCCTAGTTTTATCTCAATCCTCTAACGAGATGAAAGAGCAATACAGCTGATCCCTTAGTTACATACATAATACAATAAAAAATCTGTATGATTAAAAAAACTATAACAAGCAACAACAGGGAATGTATTTCAATGTCTTTCTTGTGTAAATAATACTATGATGCTTGTTTGTAAAGTTATTTAATGAAAAATGGTGCAAGGACTAGTTTTCAATTAGTAATCATTAGTTTTTGCTGTGAGTCTCTTAGCAGCAGTACAAACATAGTATGTTAGGATTTAAAACGCTGACCTCTTGACCCCTAGATTCAATGTAAACAGCTCATGCTCAGACTGCTGGGCTACTGAAAGTCTGCACAGTTGTATTTGTTTCTTAATGCTAAAGGCATCCATAATGCTAACTCAAGTCAGTGTCCAAATATGTAAATATTTCAATTAAAAACATTTAGCTCAAATGACAAACTGATCAAAAAGACACATGAATTGACAAAACTGGTTTATCAGCTAAACCTGACTGCTTGGTTTTCATATCATGTGAGCTTATGACTTCATTGAATTCAATGATTGACTTAGTGTATTTTATTCCCACATTTTCTAACAGCTTTTCCTTTAAAGCAACAATCCTTCTATGAAAAGGAGAAATAGCGATTCTTTATACTGTACGTTACACAACAATGCTGACATTCCAATGCAATAAATACAGTTCTATCATTTGACAAAGCATGGTCACACAGTCTGACTGTAAGCTTAGCTTTTCAGATTAATTCATTATTTCATTGTACCTCTGCAGCTACACTATCTCACTTGTGTCTCACCCTTTTTGATGGTTACCAAGAATGATAAAATGTATTGTAAAAGTATATTGGAAATTGAACGATACACCAGAAAATGTCTAAGTTCTCTTATCACTGACAGACCGCACAATAGGCTGTTTTTTTATTCAAAGCATTAATTTCAGTTTTATGGTTTTAATTCGATACTGTGTGGACTATGTCTACCTATAATATAGAGTGTAATGTTAATGGTGTAGAACATATGCCTACAAAATTAAACAGAGATGGCTCAACAGGTTCCTTTCATATGCATTCCTTCTTATGTTCTTAATTTAAATGTACAAGACAGCTGATAAAGCATTATGAGAGAGAACTACTGTACAGCAGTTAATAAAAACACATTAGCTTAAAACAAATCTGCGTTCAACTAGAAAATCCACATTTTGTTGCTTACAATTCCATACACAGATTATGACACAATGTGTTACAAAGAGGACTGTTATATTTCATTAGTAGACTGTAGGAAGTAGAGGCAGCGTGGTATTTTAAAATTTGGAAATGTGCTAAAAAATAATGGTTATTTGCATTTTGTTATTTTCAAATGCTTAAGAAACACAGAGCTAAACTGAATTTACTGAAACTTGAATGTACATTTCTGTGACTTAAAAATACTTAGTACTGTATACATAACTAACAATACTTTTAATGTATTTGTGTCTTAGTGTTTCATCTGTATTTTGCTATAGTATGTTCAGCTGTTCTCTAACAGGGAACACTTATTGCCAAAGATTCAGTGAAATGTCTTTAGTTTTCACACATTTGTGAGATGGCAAGTATGAAAAACAGAAATTTAGAAGCTTGCTATCCTTTGCAGGAACAAATCCTTTTTTGAAAAAAACATCTGAGTCTCATTCTCACCCAGAGTTCACTTATTGAAATTTTCATTTTAAGCATTCATAGAGATATTTTGCAGTATGGTGGGTCTTCTGATGAATATCTTCGTGTTTTTATCTTTAATGGTAATAACATTTATGACTTCATCACAGCTGCAAATAAGTAGTTCTTAGGTAGAATAAGAAACAGTAATTATGCTAACATTTCATTTTGTGCACCTTAATACAATGTCAGAGACAATGTCACACCAGGAAATTAACCTTAATTATTTGCGTTGTCCTTCAAACATCTGGACCTAGGACAAATTGTAGCATACTAGTGTACAATATTTGAACAACACCTGGGATTACCCTTTATGACTTCTTTTCCATCCAAGAGTTTAAATGAAATGGCTCGTTCAGGCATATGCAATTCATTTCTCCTTTTCCATACTATGCGGCAGATTCTGAGCATACAACCACAGAAACATAAGGCTACAATTGTTGGGCAAACGTTGCATAAGACATTTCTATGTATCATTGGGATGGTTTCTTCATTCTAAAACTTGCAATACATGCCATCCCCTTAATAGAAACACAGGCAACCCCAAAGCAGCATTTGTATGGTAACTGGATCCTTAGAAAGTGAAAGCTGGGCAAAACTAATTAGCTGAGGTGATTAGGTCGTTGATTGATGATTGAAAGGGCTTGCCATTTGCCCTAAGGATATTTCTTCCTCTTAGTTTCTGCATTCAGCAACACAAACACACTTTTGTTAAACTTGCAGTCCATGGGCAACCCTAAGACCTTACCTAACCTTGCAAACTTCACATCCTTTTTAAATTAGATTCCTTAACCCTCAACCACAGAGCTATAACTTTAATCGCACACACACTGCAGTACTTAACAATACAATAAAAATAATGACCTTTATCAATGCAAACATTATCAAGCATTACAGGTGCAGAGATCCGCACAGTATGTCTATTGTGATGTGTTGTGCAGAAAAAGATACTTCTGTTCGTAAACCAAACATTCATCCCCTATCTTCTCTTATAGTTTAGATAATCTCCAGGTCCATTATTAACTGAAATAAAACACAAATATCTGGAGCAAGGTTTAGTCAGGGGAATTTAAGTGCATGAATCAGAAAATTCACTTCTCTGCCCAGAATTATCTCCAACAAAACGTAAAAGAGAAAATTGTATATTGAATCTTCTAGATGAGAATGCATCGATTGTTTGTTTCTGAATACAGTATTTAAATGATAAACTCTTAACAGAGAACACAGTTGGATAGTGTCACAGTAAGAAGGTAAATGTTTATGAAAATGTAATATTTAAATAACATTTTCTCATCATTCAGTCCTACACAGAGCTACCAGAGTTAGTTAGACCACCCTGGGACACTGTGAAAACAGACATCTATTATTCCCATTGAAAAGAGAACATGCCTCCATTTTGTCATTCCGTAAAGTTCTTGGACTTTATCATTTGCATCTGTGAAAGGACAGAGTGTTCCTGATGCATTTTACATTTGAGATTGCTTAAGGAACAACAGGGGCTGTTTCTAAAGTTATTATTTACTCAGAATTTGGACTCATTCGAATGCAATATAAAACAAGCACGATGAACATCTTCGTGTTTTTGTCTCATCTGACAGTAGTAATTCTTTCCCAAAGTGGGTGGCATTTGTCAGGAAGCACAAAAAGGAAATCTAGTCTCAAACCCTAAACAAGTCCACATCTGTATCCCCAATTCACTAACAAAGGATATTTATTCATCTTGCGTTCAGTTATGAAGTGTAACTGTTCCCACAAGCTGTAGTCTGAAAAGATTAGTGATTCCAAATTTGCAACACCTGCATTGGTGGATTTTACAGATGCAGACACCTGTTTTAGGCTGTACTAGCCTGGGAACGGTAATGAAGAGACCCATATGATTACAAATAGCCACTTACAGAAAGCTTAGTGCCATATTAAGCATCTGTTCAAATAAGACATGTCAAATGAGAGCAAGTTAGGACACAGACTTGGAGGGAAACAAAGCAGTTCACAGTGTCTCTCACAATTACCTTCTATGTGATAATGATTACCTCAACCACACAATACTTAGTCTTTGTGAAAATCAAAATTTTCAGTATTTTCAGGAGATGTGGGAAATTATTTATAATTTATTCTTAGTCTGTCTTTTTTAAATGACAAGATAGCACATTTGACAGTCTGCAAACTGTCATACCCCCCCCCCCACCATTTACAGGTTAGGATCACAAAAACCTCTTACATGATATGCAAAGTGACCAGATACCAAAAACCTGTAAAAGCTTTGTTGAATAAAAATGCTGATTTTTCAGTTCATAGTTTTATTGAAACAGCAGGAGGTAATTCATAATGGTCATCTGATTCCGTAGTTTTGGAAAGTAATCCAATTAATAGCTTGAGAGAACAGTAACTGAAGTTATCTGCCATACACACCATCAAAGCATTACTGTAACTAATAAAGATTATACTGAAAATCTGTATAAATTGAAAAAATATTTCCAATTTATAAAATTATAATATATACATTATTTACAATTATAAATTATTGCATCTATGTAACACTTCTCATTCCAAAGGATCTCATAGTGCTTTCTGTACAGTAGGGAACCCATATCATCTACCACTGAAGTGCAGCACCAACCTATAGTAAGTGACACACAGAAGCCTTTATTCATCAGTAGCCCCACTATGCAGCAGTGCACTAAATAAGTTCTGTCAGCTCTCATTAAGTCCCTCTCACTTATAAAGCATACCAAAGGTAAACTCAAATAGGCTCGCAAATATGCTTGCAAACATGGACTTAATTGAAGGCTTTTCCCTAAAATGATACTTGGATGTGTACCTCAAATCAATAGATGCATGAAAAGCCTAGTGTTTTAACAGTGCAAGCACTTAAACATGTTAAGTTAAAATTAAAGCGCTGACATTAAAACATGTGTTTTAGACCAAACATGGCTGCCCGAGATATTTTTTCCATGTGGATATGCATACTGAAAATGCATCCAGGCCTTACAAACATAGGACTTACAAACACTCCTTGGCATCAGTCTACTGAAACATACAATAT